AGTGGAATTATTATAGCAAATAGTAACAATGCTGAAAGCAGTAAAATCGTAGATAATTCATTTTTAATGACTTATTTATAATACGATGCAAAAAGCTATCCCAAAAATATGCTAAATATTTTTTTTTATTTCTTCGGAATCTATTTAAATCTGAAGAGAAAAGTTATACAATAGAACCAATTCTATTACATTATCACAGTATTACGCGGGCATTTCAGTCAAATTTATTTGATAGTTTATCGAAAAATTTATTATTTGCCTATACACCTTTTTTTTAAATTGTAATAATTAAAAAAAAATAAGTGAATATTTATTAAATATAATATATTAAGATTAAAAGTTAGTTGCAATATTACGAAATAAAGTTGTTTTATTTTTTTTATATTTCCAAATAGAAAATACAAAATAGAATGTAATTTGAAAATTTAATTTATATTTAAGATGAATAGAAGAAATTGCGCAGCAATCTTCATTTATGAGCAAGATTTTCCAAATTCTAATTGACACAATTGAAGCGGAAGTTTAGAAAATCCTATTCCTTTAAAAATAGTTACAATCTTAAAATTCTATGCAATTCCGCAAAATCTTTGTTTTCTTGAAATAAAAAATTTTTTAAAAATGTTTTTTAAATTAGATCTTGAGTTACTTTGTTATTTACTTAAATACATTTAAGTAAAAATAATGTGTAGATAAAGCGATTTTATTAAAAGATCGAAATAAAATATAATTAGACATTTTTTTATTGTAAATTTATAAAAACAAATTTTAATCACTAATAAAAAGATTTATCTTTTAAACTAAAGAATTAGAGAAAGTAAATTATCATTAGTACAAAAAAAAATTCAAAACATTAAAAGAAATTAAGAATTTATATTAAATTTCATTTAGTGTAAGTAATTAAAAACCAAATTTAAATTCACCCATTACTTTAATTATCAAAGTATAAATTATTTCGGTGCAAATTTAACAAATTTAACAACCATTTTTAAATATAATTAAATTCAAAATCAATTCCTCAAATGGATTTTTTTATATTACAGTTTTAAAATTTAGTTTGTTTATAATTATATTTTTATAACAAGACAAAAATAGAAATTTTTTTAATTTAACAGATCAAAGAATGTATCAGAATTAATATATATTAACATTATTTTGGAGTATTTTTGATACAAAAACTGTATTATTACAAAAAATTATTGTAATTATTAAAAAAAAGTAATTAAGAAAAAAATTGAATTAATACTAACAATTGGAACTTTTATAAACAGTGAAATTTTTTATTCTCACGAAAGAAATTAAAAAATGCTTAAATAAATAGTTTTTAAGTTTTAATATTTTTGGCTTTTAATTAAATATTTGAAAAAAACACAATGTCCTAGAAATCGCTTTTTAGATCAAAAAATTGGATTTCTGGGACTATTTTTTGACCTCGCGAGGTTCTTAATTAATAAAATCTTTAAAATGGTGCACAAAATACCTCCAATTGACAGTATTTAAAAATGTAGTTTAAGTCATGACTTTAATAAATTATTTCAGCCATTTATTTAGATAAATATTAAAAAATTACTTCCTAAAGCAAAAAGGCGAAGAAAATAATTATCAATATTAAATCTGTTAAATATTTAAAAATATAATAATTCTTTATTAAAACAATTTTAAAAATTATAATTGATAAAGATTATTTTTGTACTTATGCTGATATTTTAAATACAAGATTTAAAATTCTGATCAAAAGTTAAATTACCATCAAAACTTATTTATTTAATATAAAAGACAATTTTTCCATATTTAGGTTCTTTTTTCCGCAATTTGAATAAAAAATATTCATTTCACTCCATTATACGTCATCGAAAACGCAAAAACTAATCCAAATTAAAAATCTTTAGAAACTTTTATAAACTTTGACAGGGTGTCTACTGTTTTCGTTCAACAAAATTCCCGGCTTTGTCCTAATTTTTCTCGTTTTTTTTCTCATCAAATTTGATTTCGAATGTAGATAAATCTACAAATGGCTTCCAAAATTTATATTAGAGTTTTTATGAATAATTAAATTCTTTTGACGAGTATCTTTAAATTTTTTGAAAATAATATTTTTAATTTTAATTTTAATATAAAATTTTAATTAAAAATTTGGAAAATAATTGAATTAAATAAAGAATTTTTTCAATTTTTTAAAATAATCTTGTCTGTTTATAATTATATATTAAAAAATTTTATTAATTTATTTTTATTAAAATGTATTGATTCTAATTGAATTTCTGCAAAGAATTTTACTATTTATAAAAGTAATTGAATCCTTCCAAAGAATGTTATTATTTATGAAAATAATTAAATGTTTCCGTAGAATTTTATTAAGATTTTTGAAAATAATCGAAATGTGGAGAAAAATTTAATTATTTATAAAAATATAATTAAAATTTTGAGGAGAATTTCAAAAAATTTTTAAACATAATTGAATTTCTTGTGAAGAATCCTTTTTTAAATAATGTTAAAAAAATTTAGTAAATCTAAAGAATTTTGCTATTTATTAAAATAATTGAATTCTTGAGAAGAATTTTTTTTACAGTTTCTAGAAATAATTAAATTCTTTCGACGAATTTTAATAAAATTTTTAAGAATAATTACATTTTTCGAAAAATTTGATTACAATTTTGTTAAAAATAATTGAAATTCTGCAATGAGTTTTACTATTTATGAAAATAATTGAATATATTGCGAAAAAATTTTGAAAAATAAAATTATAATTACGGTGACTAACTTCCCTTGATTATTTTCGAAAAATTCAAATAACATTCTTTAAAAGAATTTAATTATTTTTAATAGAATATGTAAAGAAATTTCCATTATTTCAAAAATTTTCAATTATTTGTTTATAAAAATTCAATTATCTTGAAACAACAGAATTGAAAAATTTCATAATCTTAGTTTTCAGAATTTTCATAAAACTTTGCGAAAATTTAATTTTATTAAAAAATTTTAAGTGTGTATCTTCTTTTAAGTTAACTAATAAAAATTTTAATAAAAATGCAACTATTAAATTAAAATGCTTCGAAAATTCGATTTGTTAAAAAGTTTTTAATTAAATTCTTTGACAAATTTAATTATTTTCAGTTGAATTTTACAAAATTTCTATTAATTCGATAATTATTTTTTAATTATTTTTAACTAGTTAAAATTTAGAGAACAGTATAAATATCCTTTATTACTCATGAAAATAATTGAATTTCTGCAATAATTTGTAACTTCTCCAAAATTAAATTTTTTTCTAGTGTTTTTCACTAAAATTCTTCTTTAAATAAATTATTTTTAATAATTTTTGAAAAAGTTCTTCTTTGAGAATTTTTAAATCCCTTTGTTTACACTTCAATTTTACGTGAAATTTCAATTATTAGAAAATTCTTTAATTAAATATATATTAGAAAATAAAAACTTTTTAAAAAGTTTCAATTTCAAAAAAAAATTCAATTAAACTTTTTCAAAGGAATTAATTCTACAGAATTGTTTGTTAAAAATATAATAAATTAAGAATTTCAATGATTTTCATTTGAAACCTTTAGAGAATTCAATTATTAAAAAAAAATTGCAATTATTAGTAACTTCTCAAAAATTCAATTATTATCTAAAACTTTAACTGAAATTAATTTTTAAATCAATTTCTATTAGAAAATTCTACGAGAATTCAATTATTTAAATACAAACATAGATATAATTTATTGAATAATTGAATGTTTCTTAAAATTTAATTCTCATAAAGAATTTTATCAACAAATTTTTAAATGGTTTAATTCTTTCGATAAATTTTAATAAAATTTTTAAGAATAATAACATTTTCCAAGAATTGACTTTTTATGAACAAATTTATGCAAATTGTATTTCTAATAATATTTGAATTCCAGTGAAATTTTCATTATTTTTGAAAATAATAAATTGAACATTCGTGTAGAATTTTGTAAAAATTGTTTTGAAATAATAGAATTCATTTGGAAAATTTTATTAAAATAATATATATATAGGTACAAATTATTGAATAAAGAAAATTTTTTGAAAATAATTGAATTTTATTGCTTTTGAAAATAATTGAGTTCTTGTGATGAATACTATTATTTATAAAAATAATTGAATTTTGTCGAAGAATTTTGCTATTCATTTATAAAAATAATTGAAATTTTGAAGAGAATTTCTTTAAATTTTTTAATCTAATTGAATTTCTGCGAAGAATTTTATTACTTTTAAAAATAATTGAATTCCTGTGACGAATATTGTCACTTAAGACAATAATTGAATTTTGAAATGAATTTTATTAAAATTCCTTAATATAATAGAATTTTGGTGAAGAATCTTTATAAAGATAATTGAAATGTTGACGATAATTTTTTTTTTAATTTTTTCAAATTTTTAAATAATTAAATTCTTTAGATGAATTTTAATAAAATTTTTAATAATAATTACATTTTTCGAGGAGTTTTATTCAAATTGAATTTAAAATAATTGAAATTCTGCAATGAGTTTTATTATTTATGAAAAAAAGAGATTTTTTAAAAACTAATTAAAAAAATAAAAATTTTTTTTTGGTTGAACAAATTCCCGGTTAGGCCTTAAATTTTTTTGTTTATTCCCAGTTTTTCCCGGTCAAATTAAATTTCCGGTTAGTAAACACCCCGTAGATATATAAGGAATATATAATAATAACTTATTGAATAAATAATGTTCGTTTAAATAAACAAATTTTTCAAAACATATTTTAGCGGATTTATCAAAAAATAAAATTTAGAATATAAAAATGTTCGTCAATCAAAATTTTTTCAATCTTTAGCAGTAAAATTGTCCCGATAAATAAGATTTGAAAGGAATTAAATTTTTTCTCGATGTAGTATTTTCAAAAATTGAATTACAATAGAAAATCGTAAACATTTATTTTTTTTTAAATTGACGCAATATTTAAATTTAGAATTTAAAGAAAAAATAAATTTCGTTCATTTGAATGTTAAAAACTGTAGGAATATAAAAACAAGAATATATTTTGATTGTTATAATATTCATTTAATCGAAATTCGTAGCGATGAAATACTATTGAGCAGATTTTTCATTTTTTTTTTTCTTTAAGAGAATTGAATTTCTACTTATTGACAAATGCGTTTAGACGATGGACATAATTTTTCTCCAAAGATTATTAGAGAAAAATATATTTTTTAAGTTAAATTAAAAAAAAATAAATAAATCTTTACTCTATTTAACAATATTTTTATTTAGTCTACTTATCATTTTGATGATATAAATTCATTTAGTACAGTAAGGAAGCCCACAGGGTCATTTATTGTTAAACACATAGCCAGCAAATGATTATTCGGTTAAATGAAAAATTCTGCTAAACAGTCTCCATTTTATATAATTAACGGTCAAATGAACACCTCGTCGTGATAATTGAAATTCAGTCCGTTTCTAAATAGAAAACAAACTAGAATTTTTTCTTATAAATCGTTTTTTTCTAAGAAAGATTTATCAAAGACCTTAATATCATAGTTTTCTTTTTTAAAAAATTCGTTTAATATATATTTTTTCTCTAATTTGTGCGCAGAAAAAGTAAAATAATTATTTCCTTTTTTTCTCGCTTGTTAAGAAAGTCTACACCTGTCTCTACTGCTAGAAGGCACTGGTTGCAATTCCTGCCTTCGGGTCCGTTCCTCGTCCTGCAAAGACGCCTGAAGAGCTCTCGCCAGTGCCTCGTCTTCACTCAATTGTCCCTGGATATTTTTCAAATTCCACAAACTATTTGAGTTCGACGTTGTTTTACTTTTCGCCTGACTTTGTGAATTAATGGCGTTCAGTCTTTTGGCCCGTATCGCAGACTCCTTTCCCGGACATGTGTGATCACTGGGATGTCGATGTTTGAGACAATAATTTTGCGTACACTCGGTGCACTTGACGGGAACAATTTCTTTAATTTTACATCCCTTCTGAGAGCATTTATTGCTGAATACTTTTCGCCGATCTTTTTGTATTTGACAATCGTTGTCCATGTGCTGACCAACGGCAATGTCGGGTGGATCGCCACGTTTCGATGGTATCGGTGCATTGCAAAGTGGACAGACTGGAATTTGTACATTCTTTTTGTATGCACTCGGACAGGAATGATGCAGATATGATATGTGATCGGTGCAGAAAATTGATTTACATGCGTCACATCGCAATGGAAGGAAATCGAGACGATTGCAGCTTTCCTCCGAGCAATGTTCCCCGAGATTTGGAAACTCCATTGTCTCTCATCAAGTGAGTCTTTAAAGGAAGAGAAAAAAGAAAAGTTTAATGAATTTATTTTTATTAAGTATTTCAATTATCCAAACATATTCATTTCACCGAATACAAGAGTGAATAGTTGTTTAGCAGAATTCTTATTCATCCAAGCGTTAATCTACCCTGAAAATTGTAAATCTCACATTTCCATAAACTAAATTTTATTTTCATACATAACCTGCAGTGAAAAGAAAATATTTAAAATTATAGTGGAACTTTCTTAAAGTTGATGGTGTAGGATTTTCTTGAGTGCAATTTATTGTGTAGTAGACAGGCCTCGGTAGTCGATTTAAAATAGAAAAAAAGTCGAAAAAGTCGTTTATTTAATTCAGTGTTGTCACAAAAATTTTATTTTGTATTTTTCTGATCTTTCACTGATTTCTGAATTTAGTTATTCAAAACTTGAACAATTTCGTTTAATAAATATTTAAATACTTCTTGTTTGTTTTTATACAGGAATAAAATTTTAAAAAATTCTATTTAAAACCTTTTTAACTTTAATAACTTCTAAAAATTACAACTGTAATTCTCTTAAAATTCAATTATTTTCTACAATTTTTCATCAAACTTTTTCTCGAAATCAATTATTTTTAATAATTTTCCGAAAGTACTTAGAGAATTCAATTATTTAAATAAAAAAATTCAGTGTTTTATAATAATATTGTAACTGTCCATGTTTTTAAGTTATTAATTAATTTTCAAAAAATTATAATAAAGACATTCTTAAAATTAATTTTTCAAAAATATTTTAAAAATTATTTATGAAAAATAATAGTTTTTCAATTATATACAATTGGAAAATTTCCAAACAATTAAAATTTGGTAAATTCTATTCAAAAAAATAACTGAATTTTTAAAAAATTTTAATTATTAATATAAACGTGAAATATAAATATAATATAAACGTAAAAATTTTAATAAATCAAAAGAAGTAAATTTTAAAAAATTTTAATTTTCTTTGTTCGAAATTAATTGAATCTTAAAAAATTAAGATAAAAAAATTACAAGTAAAAGTTTTTTTTTAAATATTGTAATTTAATTTTTCGAAAAGAATTGAATTTTTTAAAAGAATTTTTGTATAATTTACATTTGAAGATTTTTCATTAAAATTTTTGAAAAACAAATTATTTTCAAAATTTGCAATTAAAATTCTTTAAAAGTTGATTTTCAAAAATTTTTTTAAAACACATTTTTAAAAAAATCAATTATTTTCAATTAAATTTTACAAAATTTCAATTATTGAAAGTCTTTTTAATTGTAAATTTTGAAAATTTATTAAGTAATTATAAAAATAATTGAATTACTTCGAAGAAATTATTGAAATTTTAGGAATTAATTGAATTTAATGGAAATATTTGAATAATTCCAAGAAATTCAATCAAAGATGTTTTGAAAATAATTGAATTCCTGCGCAAAGAATTTTACTAAATTTTTAAAAATAATTGAATTGTTGCGAAGAATTTTACTATTTAGGAAAAATAATTGAATTATTTCGAAGGATTTTCAAAAATTTTTATAAAACACTTTGAAAAAAATCAATTATTTTCAATTAAATTTTACAAAATTCCAATTATTAAAACTCTTTTTAATTGTAAATTTCGAAAATTTAATTAGAAAAATTATTAATAAGTTGTATTTTATACTAAAAATTATTGCAAAATTTGGAAAAAAGTCGAAAAAGTCGTAATTTTTGAAAATAAGTCGAAAAAAGTCGCATTTTTGTAAATAGTCGAAAAAAGTCGAAAAAGTAATAATATCCGAGGCCTGAGTAGATTATACTATGTAGTATTTAATTATCTAAAGTGGAAAAATTGCAAATAAATTTTATTTTGCTATTAATTATTTAATAGATTTTATTTATGTAGAATGGACACCGCCCCAGAAAATTATTAAGACATTTTTTGAGAGTTCTTCAGATGTTTATTACACATGATTTCCTTTTCCTCTTTACGATCACAGAGTGGCCATTTTTACAAGAAATTGAATTCCCGGTTTTCCTGCGGTCAATTTTTTGGGATTTCCTGGTCAGTTTAATAATAGATTGAAACAATATTTTTAATTTTGCAAAATTTCATTTATTGTTAAATATTATTTAACATTTGAATTCACAAGAAAATTTTTTAATCCTTAAAAACTTACATCTTTAAAAAAGTAACTTTCAAACTAAAAAAAGTAGTAAAAATGTAGCTATCGAAAAATTAAACTTGACGACCAAAAACACTCGTTTTAGAAACTTCACAAAACTTACAAAAATTCGATTCTATATTTTATTTTTCTGACTTTTTCCTAATTTCCATGAAAAATATTTACTTCTTTCTTATTCTGCTAATGAATTAAATTCCTGCAACGAAATTTTATTATAAAAATTTAAATATTTATATAAAAATAATTTAATTCTTGCGAACGATTTTATTAGAATTTTTTTAAAATAATTGAATTTCCAAAAAAAAATTTATGACTTTTAAAAATAATTAAATTCTTGTGATGAATATTGTTATTTATGAAAAAAATTGAATTTTGCAAAGAATTTTATTAAAAAGCCTTAAAATAATTGAATTTTCGGGAATAATTTTGTTATTTATCGACATAATTGAATTCTTCGAAAGAATTTGATTAAAATATAAAAGAATAATTGAATTATTTGAAAGGAAATTTAATTAAAATTGTATTTAAAATAATTGATTTTTTTCGAACAATTTTATTAAAATAATTGAAAGTAATTGAATTCCTCTGAAAAATTCTAATATTTTTGTAAATAATTGAATTCTTTCAAAGAATTTCAAAAAAACAATTTTTTAAATAATTGATTTTTTCGAGGAATTGAAATTAAATTTTTAAGAATAATTACATTTTTGAGCAATTCCTGTAAAATTGTATTAAAAATAATTCAAATCCTGCGATGAATTTTATTATTTGTGGAAATAATTGAATAGTTACAAACAATTTTATTAAAATTTTAAAAAATAATTGAATTCTTGAGAAGAATTTCGTTATTTATGAAAATAATTGAATTATTGCGAAAAATTTTTTTAAAAAATTGAATTTCTGTGAAAAATTATGTTATTTTTGAGAATAATTGAATTTTTCATAAGAATTTTATAAACATTGTTTTAAATAGTTAATTTTTTCGAAGTGTAATAAATATTAATGAAAATTTTATTTCAAATAATTGAATTCTTGTGGAAAACTTTATTTGTGAAAATAATAATTGAATTTTTCGATTAATAAATTAAAAATAGTATTAAAAATAATTGAAATTCTTCGATGAGTTTTATTATTTACGAAAATAATTGAATTCTTGCTTAGAATTTTATCCAAAATTTAAAAAAAAAATTAAATTTCCATGAAAAATGTTACTAGGTATAAGTGAAAGTAATTGAATTATTGTGAAGAATTGTACGAAAATTTTGTTAAATAATTGATTTTTTCGAAATTTTTTTGAAAATTCTATTCTGTAATATATTAGTTGAATTCCTGTGGAAATTTTATTATTTATGAAAATAATTGAATTTTTGATGAATTTAATCAATTTTTTTTAAATAATTGAATTCTTTTGCGATGTTTTATGAAAATACCAGATATTGAAAATAATTGAATTTTGAATATTTTTTGCGAAGCCTGTCAATGAGATCTTTTGACTTTTAAAATCATGTACACATTATTTGTAATTATTTAAAAATAATGATTTTTCAATTCAAGGTTCTTCCTCAAAATTCAAGGATATTTCAAGGTTTTAAGGGGAAAAATCAAGGAAAATTAAAGGTTTTTCAAGGTCGCTGAAGACCCTGATATACTTTTAAGTTTATTACCTACATATATAGACATTATTGTGTGTGAAACCAGTTGAACTTTGTTGTTTTTATTCTTATATTTATAAATACAAGTGAAATTATTTTAATATTAGCGTCATATTATAAAATTGGGTTAAAATGATATTTTATCTTCCAAATTTTTAACATTTTTAAAAAAATGGTCTTTTTCTAACGTTTTGAAAAATATGTTCATATGAAATATCTTGAATTAATAATAACCAAACGAAAAATTACTTTTAAACATTAAATATGTTTTATCGAATTTTATACGAAATTCAACACATAGAGTAACAAATTTTATTAAATATTTTTAGGGGAACTGAGAAAAAAACGGTAAATGTTTCCTAATAAAATGACACATTAAAAAATATTGTTATGACAAATAAGGTTAAAAGATGTAATTACTTACATGCGTCAGAATGATTCTCTAATTCGTTCGCTAATGAAACGTCTCGTCTCAGTTCTCCAAGACTTTTGCCTCTTTTTAGCAACTCAGCGTGCTTTTATAGTCATTAATATAGTTTATAGTAAATGTATGTGAACACAAAATTTACAGTATTTTTATTTATGTATAAATATTGCATCAATGCCAGTCATCAGGACATGGATTATTTCTATAGTAAGAATTGACTTGCACTTTTTCTTTTTCATTGAAGAACTGAACCATGAACAATCGGAATGCGGAACAATGCGCAACTAAATTTCACCGCGAAATGAACTAATTATTTAAATTCTTTTTTTATATTTTTATAGACAATATAAAAAATTAAAAACTTAATTAAATTAAATTATTAAAAAAAGCGCCTGCGCGTCTACGATTTTTACAAAATTCCAGAACTAAAAGTCCGGATCAAAGAACTGGTTATAATTTTTCAAGACTCAAAATTCTCGATCTCTGAATAAAAGAATTTAGAATTTCAATTTTTTCTAAGCATTTCGTATTTGTATAAAGATTAAGTACGAGAATGTTCCTCTGAAAATTGTGATTTAAAACTAATTTTTTATTAACACAGGACGATTTTTAGCTTAAAGGTACGCGTATTATAACCGGTTCTTTGATCCGGACCTTCAATTTTCCAAAGTTAAAGAATATTACTTTTTAGATCATTTTTATTGTTGGGAAAAATGTTTTTAAGGGAAATTGTCTTAAAGGTTAAATAACGACTTATAATTTTTAATCATAATATATATAAATAACAGTTTTATTTACACTTTACATACTTACAAAAACCAGAACAATTTACAAAATCTTTTATTTCATCAGAAAAAGGCGTAATGGACGAAATTTGAAAATTAGTAGTTAATATATATTTATTTATTTATTAAATTGATCCTGAAACGGTGGTAGATTTAATACTCTCGCTGTACCAAGTGCCATTAAAGCTAAAAAATAATATTTTCATTGATTTTAAATCCAGACAATATGCGCCGAAAAATTGTATAACCTTAAAATTTCAAGTTTTCTCTATTTTTTCAAAGACCTTTCAAAAGAGTTTTTTTTTTTTTTTTTAAATAAAAATCTTGTATTTCTAGAAAAAGTGAATATTACTTACCACCGCCAACTGTGAGCATAACTGATTTGACAGGGATTTTCTGAAACTTTTTCGAATGATAAGAAACATACATTCCGGAACCTAGGAGGCCACAGCCACTAACAAGTCTACAACCTAGACAAGTGCGGTCTCTATTTGTAATAACACTCTTAATTGTTTCAGGCATTCCACTTCAATATGTTTTTATATATTTTCATAAATAATTTTGATGTACCGAAAAAGTCTATTTTTTTTGAGAACAAAATAAAGTTGTTTATGCAGGTTACTCAATTGTCAACAAACTTTAAGTCGCCATCTTGGAAATTTCGATAAGGTAGTCCAAGTTGGGTGGGGGAAATGCAATATGGCTGACATCAGCTGATTTACCGGAGGACAAACAATGCATTGAATTCAATGGGACAAATCAGTTTTTTAACCATAACTTTTTAAATATTCATTTTTGAACCATAGTGTAATGGAAAATTATTCTTTATTTATCGAAATCTATTTTTTAAAACAATAAAATTAAATTTTTTGGTTTTATTGTTTTAAAAAATAGATTTCGATAAATAAAGAATAATTTTCCATTACACTATAGTTCAAAAATGAATATTTAAAAAGTTATGGTTACAAAACTGATTTGTCCCATTGAATTCAATGCATTGCTTGTCCTCCGGTAAATCAGCTGATGTCAGCCATATTGAATTTCCCCCACCCAACTTGGACTACCTTATTCAACTTTTTAGAAAGACCGCGAAAAGTTTGAATCGTTATTTTTTTTATTCACGTTTTATAATAATTTAATTTACCATAAAATTTTTCAAAAAAAGTTAATTATTTACAAAAATCCTAATAAAATCCTTCGAAAGAATTTAATTATTTTTACAAGTAGTAAAATTTTTCAAAAACATTCAATGATTTAAAAAAAATGTAATAAAATTCATTGCAATAATTCAATTATTTTCATAAATAATAAATCGATTATTCGGTAATTCATTTTTAAATCAATTTTTATTAAAAAAATTTTAGAAGAATTCAATTATTAAAATTACAAAATAAATAATTTATTAAATAATTGAATGTTTATTAAAATTTGTCAAAACAAATTTTAATAAAATTTTTAAGAATAATTACATTTTTCGAGAAATTCGATTAAAATATTGTATCAAAAATAATTAAAATCCTGCGATGAGTTTTATTATTCATGAAATTAATTAAAATTATCCCAACAATTTTATTAAAATTTTTGAGTTCTAAAAGTTATTAAAATTTTTCTAAAATAATTGGATTTCGGAAAAGAATTTTATTATTTATAAAGATACTTGAAATTTTGACAAGAATTTTTTTTCATCATAATTGAATTTCTGCGAACAATTTTATTATTTATAAAAATACAATTTGAATTTCTAGAATCATTTGTAACTTTTCGAAAATTAAATTTTTTTTAGCATTTTTAACTAAAATTCTTCTATCAATCTAGTATTTATGAAAATTGTGAAAGTTATTCATTAAATAATTTCTAAGTCATAATTTTATGATACTTTTTGAAAAATGAAGTTATTTAAAAAGAAATTATTGTCAGAAATAGAAAACATTGAAGGTTTTGTATTAAAATTCGTGGTTATTTCATAGTTTACGAGGCCCCTGACTTTTCCCTGATTTCCCTGACCTGTGACAACCCTGTTTATAAAATATTTCAAAAAAATTCAATTATTTTCTAAAATTTTTATAAATATTTCAAATTCCCCTGTCTCAGAATATAATATGATTATTGTGGTTATAATAGTAATAATCTATATTCCAATATTTATATTTTATTTTTATGAAAAAAAAAATTTGAAATTCTATTATTTTTAAAATTGCTAATTTTATTTAAAAAATAATGTAAAAAGTTAGCCGCGCGAATTGTTGCTAGTTAATTATAAAAGTTCAATTTGGAATTTATGATAAATATTATTTTATTTCCACAAGATCATTTTTATTCACAGTACACACATAAAAACAAAATATCACGAAATAAAAATTCACCCACAGAATGAATTGTGAAGCAAAAAAAAAAAATTAACTTTTCTCCAAAAAATAGAATGCTATAATAATTTCTGAATAAAAAGAAATTAATTTTAATAACAAGAGAAAAAAAAGAAGGAAAAAGCAAAAAAAATCACATGTACAAAAGTCCCGAAATACCTTAGATATCTTTAGAAATAATATATAAATGATTTATTTAGTAACAACTAAATCACTCTATGCTTATAATTAATGATTCTGTCGAATAAAGCAAAGCAAACTGCTCAATGCGTCACTAAATTTTTAATTTTCGTCTTGTCTTGTCTTGTCTTCTCTTCAATTTATCGATGAGATTATTTGAGTTTTTAGAATATTCATAAGATTTGCTCTGCTTTACTCGATCTCGACCCTTTTTATTTTTTTCTTTTAAATTTCCATTAATGTAATGCGAATACTCCTTGATTTACATTCAGAATGAGGTTTCAAGTATGAGTAAATATTGTGTGATAAAATACAAAAAACATTGTTTATGATGAATGGATGCATGGTTTTCATTTGTACAATATTTATTACATGGCATGACGCTCAAAACCACATTAAATTGCGTGAAGATTTACCACCAAGGGCTTTTTCACAGCATTGGCATTCTTTATGCCGAAGATTTCAAGTCTTTAGAAGATTTTTTTTTACGTTATCAAGTCCTCAGCAGTTCTTTTTTTTATTACTTTTATTTTTTTTTAGCAAGAATGTCTGATTAAGAAACACATTCATTCTATAAGTTTCTTCGCTCGGAAATAGCGTCTAAGGTAAAAGACTTGCCATGTGGCCAAACCCAATAAACAGCACATGGAAAATATACTGAAGTAGAGGACACGAGCGTTCGTTGATTCTAAAACAAAGTAAACAATAATAAATGTTTTAACGTTCTTTAAATTTAACTGAACTTAATCTTCTAACATAGTTATTAATACTGTTAAAAGAATTTTGAAAAGAAAATGTTTTACTCTTATTATTAACAATTAAATATTTTATCTCTTTAAAAAAAAAAAAAAAAAAAAAAAAATGAAGAAATGGATCACTCCGAGTCTTTGACTCGGAGTAATCGATTTCTTCATATTTTATAATAATTAAAGATGGCCCAGTAATAAAATCATTATTTTATATTATAAGAATATTGTACTTCTTCAAAATTACTTTCACCATTTCAATTCAATTATTATTTTAAATAATTGAATTCTTTTGTCGAATTTTATTAAAACTTGCATAAAAATAATTACTTTTTTCAAGGAATTCAATTAAAATTGTACGAAAAATAATTGAAATTCTGCGATGAGTTTTATTATTAGTAGTAAAAAAAATGGAATCCTGAAGAAAAATTTTATTGCTCTTAAAAATAATTTGAATTTCTCCAAAATTCAATTTTTTTCTAGCAGTTTTTAACTAAAATTCTTTTTTAAATAAATTATTTTTAATAATTTTTGAAAATGTTCTTCTTCGAGAAATTTTAAATCTCTTTGTTTACACTTCAATTTTACGTGAAATTTCAATTATTAGAAAATTCTTTAATTAAATATATATATTAGAAAATAAAAACTTGAAAGAATTTCAAAAAAAAATTCAATTAAACTTTTTCAAAGGAATTAATTCTATAGAATTGTTTGTTAAAAATATAAAAAATTAAGAATTTCAATGATTTTCATCTGAAACCTTTTCAAAATTCAATTATTCAAAAAAATTGCAATTATTAGTAACTTCTCCAAAATTAAATTATTATCTAAAACTTTAACTGAAATTAATTTTTAAATCCATTTCTATTAGAAAATTCTACAAGAATTCAATTATTTAAATACAAACATATACAATTTATTGAATAATAGAATGTTTCTAAAATTTTAATTCTCATAAAGAATTTTATCAACAAATTTTTAAATAGTTAAATTCTTTCGACAGATTTTAATAAAATTTTTAATAATAATAACATTTTCCAAGGAATTCGATTAAAATTGTATTAAAAATAATTGAAATTCTGAGATGAGTTTTATTATTTATGAAAATAATTGAATTCCTAATTGACTTTTTATGAACAAATTTATGCAAATTCTATTTCTAATAATTGAATTTCTGTGAAATTTTCATTATTTTTAAAAATAATTGAATATTCGTGTAGAATTTTATAAAAGTTGTTACGAAATAATTGAATTCATTTGGGAAATTTTATTAAAATGATAAATAATATACAAATTATTTAATTAAGAAAATTTTTTGAAAATAATTGAAATTTTGCCATGAATTTTATTTAAATTTTTGAAAATAATTAAGTTCTTGTGATGAATAATTTTATTTATGAAAATAATTGAATTTTGTCGAAGAATTTTGCTATTCATTTATAAAAATAATTGAAATTTTGACGAGAATTTTTTAAAAATTTTGAAAATAATTTAATTTCTGCAAAGTATTTTATTAATTTTGAAAATAATTGAATTCCTGTGATGAATATTGTTATTTAAGACAATAATTGAATTTTGCAATGAATAATATTAAAATTCTTTAATGTAATTGAATTTTTTGTGAAGAATTTTGATATTTATAAAGAGAATTAAAATGTTGACGATAAATTTTTTTTTAAATTTTCCCAAATTTTTAAATAATTAAATTCTTTAGACGAATTTTAATAAAATTTTTTATAATAATTACATTTTTCGAGGAATTCTATTCAAATTGAATTAAAAATAATTGAAATCTACAATGAGTTTTATTATTTATGAAAATAATTGAATTCTTGAAAAGAAGTTTATTATTTTCGAAAATAATTGAATCCCTGTAAAAAATTTATTATTTTTGAAAATAATTCAATTATTGCGAAGAAATTTATAAAAAATTTGTAAATAATTGAATTCCTGTAAAAATTTTTATTATTCATAAAAATAATTGAATGTTTGCATAGAATTTTATTCAAATTTTTTTTAATAATGGAATTCTTTTGAAAAATTTTATTAAAATATTATAGATATTGAAAATCATTGAATTTGAGAAAACTTTTGAAAATAATTGCAATTTTGCCAAAAATTGTATCAAAATTTTTGAAAATAATTGAATTTTAGAGAAGAATTTTATTATTTATAAAGATAACTGAAATATTGACCGCAGATTTTAAAAAAATTTTTGAACACAATTGAATTTCTGCGAAGAATTTTATTACTTTTGAAAATAATTGAATTTTTCTGCAATCATTTGTAATTTCTCTAAAATTATTCAAATTATATCGAATAATTTACGAACTTTTTGTCTTTTTTCCAACAAATTACAGACTTTACGAACCATTTTTTTTTTTAAAACTGACTTTTGCGGACTTGAAGCAAATTATTATCATTATTTTCTTCTTGAATGTAAATTGCAATTAAGAAATTTATTTACGTAAAACTAATGAATTTATAAAACAAAAAAATTATTTTACAAAAACTAATTTTGTTGTCACTAATAAAAAAAATTGGGAACAATAATTACCATTTGTATTTCTCATTTCTTCCTCACTTTTTCGCATTCGCGAGAAATCATCGACAATAACTTTGGAAAGTTCTTCCAATCTCCTTAATTCGACTTCGACGGGTTTCAATTTAGACGCCTCGCCAAGCTATAAAGAACAAATAGTCAATTATTCCACAGAAAATGAATGAAAAAACAAATAAAAAGCTCACTTTCTAAAAAAAATATTTTCAGACAAGAGACAAATCAAATGTACAATATTCTGTAGGCACTTGCTGTTAAACTATTAGATTTTTCAAAAAAATAAATAAATGGCAGTAAACATTAAAGCGTAACATTAATGCAATAAATGAACACTAAAAAATAGACCTTAAAAAATTACGGTAAGAATCACACTTAAAGAACATAATTATTGTCTCTGTAAACAAAAAAGCAAAGTTTGATGTTAAAATTCCAACTGAAGCTCGTTAAATCTACATACAGAAAAAGAGGAGAGTAAAGGAAAATTATTGTAAATAAGGAAATACATTCGCAATTATTGTATAAATTAAAATGCATGCAATTTTTTTTAGAGATAAATAATCATAATAATAATTTCACTTTACCAGCTGCCCGCCCAATCAAGCGACATAAAGAAAAGTAAAAAATTAGATTTTTATGAAATTGAAAGTATTATTAATTGTTTGTATTATACTTACACTTTCAAAACTTTTCGCCTCTAAATCTCGTTTTACATTTAACGTAATTTCTTGCCTAACACCTCGGTGAGCTAAAAATAATTAAATTCTTATATATAGAAACTTAATTATAAATATTTTATTACGATTATTTTTTTAATTAAAAAGAATTCATTACAACCATTTTAAAGTATTGTTCAAAAATTAAGTAGGATTGCCACAAAAATTTAATTTTGTTTTTCCCTGACTTTCAAGAAAAAATTATGAATTTTTTCCTGACCCTAAAGAATATTTTGTTTCACTCTAAAAATGATTGGATACTCAAAAAACATGTTCTATTACATTTATTTACAAATTTCTTTAATTGTAAAATTATTTAAAAACACCAATAACTTCATTTTCAAATAAATATTTAATCATTATTATCTTTCCATGGAAACTAAAATTTTCAAAATTAATAATTCAAATCTTTTTTATAAGAATATTATTATAAAACACGAAGATATCGATCGCTTTCTTCATGTTTTGTATATAATTAAAAGTGACAGAGTGATAAAATCCTTATTTTATATTATAATATAAGAATATTGTTATTGTAACGTCTTCAAAATTATTTTCATCATTTCAATTCAATTATTATTTTCTACAATTTTTAAATAAATTATTTATTAAATTTTTAATAATTTTTGAAAAAGTTCTTCTTTAAGAATTTTTAAATCCATTTGTTTACAATTTACTTTTACGTGAAATTTCAATTATTCAAAAATTCTTTAATTAAAAATCAATTAGAAAATAAAAACTCGAATTAATTTTTTAAAATTTCGATTAAGCTTTTTGTAAACAATTAGTTCCATAAAATTTTTAATTAAAAGTATGAAAAATTTAGATTTTCAAAGATTTTAATTTGAAACCTTTACAAAATTCAATTATTTCTAAAAATTGCAATTATAACTTTAACTGAAATTAACTTTTAAATTAATTTTTAATAGAAAATTCTACGAGAATTCAATTATTTAAATACAAAAGTAAATTATTTGTTAAATAATTGAATGTTTCTTAAAATGTAATTCTTATAAATAATTTTATCAATAAATTTTTAAATAATTGAATTCTTTTGGCGAATTTTTAAAAAATTTTAAAAAAAATTTTAAGAATAATTACATTTTTTAAGGAATTCGATTAAAATTGTATGAAAAATAATTGAAATTTTGCAATAAGTTTAATTATTTATGAAAATAATTGAATTATTGCGAAAAATTTGATAAAAAAGTTTTAAACAATTGACTTTTTTCGAAAAAATGTATGCAAATTCTATTTTTAATAATTGAATTCTTGCGAAATTTTTATTATTTTAGAAAATAATTGATTATTCGAGTATACCTTTGTCAAAATTGTTTTTAAATAATTGAATTTTTTTGCACAAACTTAAAAAATTTTGAAAATAATTGATTTCCTGCGACGAATTAAAAGTTATTTATGAAAATAATTGAATAATTGCAACGAATTTTATTATTTTATTGAATAATTGAATGTTTCTTAAATTTGAATTCTTTCGTCAAGATTTAATAAAATTTTTAATAATAATTGCATTTTTCGAGGAATTTATTTAAAATTGTATTAAAAATAAATAAAATATTTAAAAATCTGCAGTGAAAATAATTGAATTCCTAAATAAAATGTTATTATTTATGAAAATAATTGAATGTTTTCGAAGAATTGTGTCAAAAATTTTTTTCGATAATTAAATTATTTGATAAATTTTATGAAAATAGTAAATATTAAAAATAATTGAAATTACGAAAAAATTTTGAAAATAATTGAAATTTTGCAAAGAATTTTATTTAAATTTTTAAAAATAATTGAATTTTTGGCGAAAAATTTTGCTATTTATAAAGATAATTGAATTCTTGACGAGATATTCGTTAAAAATTTGTAAAAATAATTGAATTTCTTCCAAGAATTTGATTACTTTTGAGAATAATTGAATTCTTGTGATGAATATTGTTATTTATGAAAATAATTGACTTCCTGCGAATGATTTTATTATTTATGAAAAATAATTAGATCCGTGAAAAGAATTTCAAAATTTATGAAAATAATTGTTTTACTGAGAATTTTATTAATTTTGAAAATAATTAAATTCTTGTGATGAATATTGTTATTTATGAAAATATAATTGAATTTCAGTGAAGAATTTTGCTATTTATAAAAATAATTCAAATTTTAATGAGTTTTTTTTTTAAATTTTTGAAAATACATAATTGAATTTTAGCGAAGAATTTTGCTATTTATAAAAATAATTGAAATTTTGACAAAATTTCTTTTAAAAATTTTTGAAAATAATTAAATTTCTGAAAAGAATTTTAATATTTAGTAAGTTAGTTGAATTCTTTCAGAGTTGAGTTTAACATTTTAAAAATTGAAACTAATTTCAATAGAATTGAAATTAAAATCAAAAAAAAATACTTTATTAAATGATTTATAAGTAGGTAATAACTTCTTCAATAGAATTAAGTTATTTAAAATAAATTATTGTCAGAAATAGAAAAAATTTAAGGTTTTATTTTAAATTCGTGGTAATTTCATAGTTTATGAGGCAAAAAAAAAGACACAAAAATTCAGAATTTTCTTATAATTTTAATTTTTTCCCTGACTTTTCCTGACCAAATAACTGTAAAACTGTAAATTGTTAACTTTTAGGACATTTTTTTTCATTATTACTCGGAAACGGAAAAATATAATTGAGAGTTAATTTGTTTTAAATTAAAGATTAAAATCTACAGTTTAAAGTTCAACTGAAGCAATTGCTGTAAAGTGATAATTATAATTAACAATTTTTTCTAACAGTTGCAATGTAAAGTATATTCTCCGTGCTTTTCAAAGATTCGAATATAATTTTTAAATGCGTAAAACTCTTAAATAATTAAAAAATAGGAAAAATGAGTAGTATTAAAAAAGTTAATATTAAAGATAATATTTCAAGTTTTTTTTCAACATTTTTGACTCTATAATATATAGAATAAATATCGGAACTTACTAGGTGGAACGTGGGAATTGAAACATATTTCAAAATTGTCATAGACTTCAGTAACGAAAGAAAATTTCCCAAATTTTCCATGTGGAATATCTTGTTTTTGCGCAAGAATATGTCCCTTCGAGTCCCGAACCTTAAAAATTAAACAACAAAATTAATATATAAATATACACCCTTCAGAATTCTTTAACCTTTAATTGTAATTAAATTTCCTTTAATAATTAAATTCGAATTTATAAGTTTTTTTTCACATTTAAAGAGAACATAATTTAAAAACAGATATCAGAAGTTTAGGGTTAAAAAATTGTTAAAAAAATAAATTTTGGTTTTAAGAAAATTATATATTTAACTTGAGAATATAGAAGAAAATAAAATAAAAAAATCAGAAATTTAGGAAAAGTTGAATTAAGAGCCGAAACACTGGAGAAATATTTTGATTTATTATAGCAGACTGTTAAATTGCAATGTCATTGTACGATCACTTGTAAATGAGAGAGAATATAAAAATCTAGTAAAAAAGGAAATAATAATTCTTCAATATACTCAGAAGAGATAAAAATAAAAAAAAAAGTAAAATTTACATGATCAATTTAAATTCCAATAACCATATTGAAGGTTACTGTACCTAACCTCAATGTTAAAGGATCTTTCAACTTTTTCAAAAAAACTTACCACATAATCGACTTTTTGACCATGCACTTCGGAAACTTGATATTCTCCGCTAACTAAAACATTAGCCTGAATTTCTTCTCTAAGACATTTTGATTGATTTGGCTCCATATACCACATGATACTTCGGACATGGGCGATAAGTAAAAGGAGGCCGAAAACAACAAAATTATTCGAACTCATCTTTTCTCAAGCACTCGACGTTTATTTAAAATGACAAATATTTAAATAAAAAAAAACTATTTGTGCACTTTTGTTTTTACGGAAAAAAACTATAGAAATTTCATTGCACCACCGTCAACATTTCGATGAGTTGGCAGCCATTCGAAATTTCCTTCACCCAAAGATTTCGTTTTCTACGTGTCGAATTATTTCTTCTATTTAAAGTTATGTCAACGTTATGCTGATTCTACAATATTATAAGTCAAAGAGAAAAAGAAGAGCTATTGTGGACACTCCATAAGGCTATTCACGACAATGCTCGTCAAAAATTTCAAAGTGTGCAAGCACCTTTACACTTCCATAGAAAAAATGGAAAAAATTTTCAAATTAACCGAAAAATATCGAATTATACTAGTCAAATTTGAACCAATCAAAATTGAACAATTTTTAGGGGTATAAATTTTTTTTTACATTTTTTCAGTTCCTGAAATCATAATTATTACACTATAAAAAATTAATAAAAGTAATTTTTAACTGATTTACACTCGCAAACGCGATCCATGAGATAGAAAAGGACATGAATATATATATCTCTGTCCTTTTCTAACTCATGTTTTACATTCGCGAATGTAAAGGTCGGTTCATTTTTTTTACACTCTTGCTCCCGATATTTTTTTTACCCTCAAAAAATGACTATTTATTCTTTGTTATAAAATTTATAAACTACTTTAAACATTCAACTCTTCTAATTTTAACAGCAAATTTCTAGAAAAGTGAAAATTAAATTTGTTTATAAACTTTTGAAGAAGTGCAGTTTCAGTCTTTCAATGGGAGTGAGAAGAAATATCGTTGCTGATTGGCTGTTGGTGACGCCAGCGTTTAGCAAGTTATTTATAATCGGCGCATGCGCAATGTGAATTCTAATATCCGCCATTCATACTCGAGTCGATTTCGTGTCGTGTGTCGATGTTTCTGTGTGTGTTGAATCAAGAGGCATGGTGACGGTGATCACATTGATATTCTTAGAAAAAGCGACGAAAAACATGAAACAAGTGGATTAGTGATTATCAAGAAGCTGAAATATATACACAATTATTACGAAATAATAACGCCCGCGAAACGTCTGACGATGATATTGATATTTTGTTGCAACCTCTTCACGTAAGTATATCTTCGCTCCAAAAAAAAAAAAAAAATGCCCCAGCAGCCGAAAATCTCTCAAGGATCCCTTGTTATCGCGCTAAAATATTCATCGTAAATTTATTTTTACTCTATATTTTGATTATGTGAAAGAATTCTCATTTTTTTCCAAGATTTGAAAAGATATTTTTATTGGTTCTTATTTAGTTTTCATTATAATCGTTTCGAGAGCGTGAAAATATAAGGAGAAAACATTGTTTTCTCGCACTCAACGCGATCCTTTTCGTTCTTCACGCATCTTTGATTCTTGTTTACCGGCTGAACAGTGCACCTACTTTTTTTTTCTTTCTTTTTCTCCCGCTTTGCAATTCAGTAAAAAAAAAAAAAGTTGAAATAATTTTAAATTCCAAGTTTTTCGCAAAAAATTTTTGTTGAATCGTTCGCAACCTCGAAAATATTACGCGCGACGACGCTGCCAGGAAATGAACGCAGCTTGTTGTCTCTGCCAACGCTCTATTTTCAGAATCTTGTGATCGTAGTGTTCGGTTTTGTGGTGAAAAGCGAATAAAACCGCGCGCTTCTATTTCGTTGCTTAAATCCCGGCCTTTTTTTTACCCTTGTGTCACGCTTCGTTTTTCACTGAAAATTATCAATTCTCCTTCATTAAATGCTGAGAAATTTACTTCTTTTTCCAAACACACACACACACACTCTCTATTGACAGTGAAATTTGACTATTTGTTAAAAGTGAATCTTTGTTTTCTTCATTATCAAAACATAGTTTGCAAAATATTGTGACTTCGAATTTCGATCGATTTTTATTCTTTTCCCTTTTTTCAAAAATAAAGGTAAAAATATTTTCTCACATTTCTATTTCTGCTAAATTAACGGTGATTTTTCAAGTAAATGAAAATGAATTGTGGCTAAATTTAAAAAATTATAATAAGTACAGAAAAAAGTACATTTTTCCCTTCTTCAATTTCCTTCTCGGATAATTGTCAATTTTTGATAACCTCAAAATAAGTAAAATTAGATAAAGATGATAATAATTGTTGAAAATAATTGTTTTAAAGAAAAGGGTCAAAAATGTTGTGTGCTAATAAAAGAAAACGTCATCAGATTGCAAGTATTTATTTTGATTAATATAAATTTTATTATCGTGTTTTCATCTATTGTTAGTAAATGAAATTTTGTGAATTAAAAAATTGTGAATATATTTTCTTAATGTTTCTATGCATATAAAGCTTATTTTTTACATTCTTTTTTTGTAAATCTGGCACTCACGTGAAGCAAGTGCACTTACGTATTCATTTGAATACGTAATATTTCAATGAAAAAGAAAAAAACAAATATGTCGACAAGTTGTAAACACGTGATTAGACTGAACTGTTATACGATTTCTCGTAAAAGCATTAAAATTATATAAATTTTTGTAAACCTGAAATCTCACATTTTCAAAAAAAAGCCACAACAATTGTAATCAAATGTTTTTTTTATTTTTAAAAAAAGTTTTTGAGATTCAGACATTTTTTTTTCATTGTTGTTGTCTAAAGTTACATTCTAATCTAAGATTCAGTTTCCATAAAATGATGCTTGATTTGTGCGAAAGGAATTATTTAAATATTCTGTGGTAGATTTTGTTGTTCTTCTTCTTCTTCAAAAAATTTTATCCAAATAGTGCATATTTTTCTAAGCCGGGAATTTTTTCACCAAATTAAAAAAAGTTTTATTATTTCAATTTGTTTTTAAAAAATCGCTTTTTATTTCAATTTTTATAGATATTTATACTGTTTTCTAAGTTTGAATTAGTTAAAAATAATTAATTTGATGGTAAAAAATCAGTCACTGATTCAAATATAGTTAGTAAATAAATTTTAAAAAAATTATCGAATTAATAGAAATTTTGTGAAATTCAACTGAAAATAAATTTGTTAAAGAATTTCATTAAAAACTTTTTAACAAATCGAATTTTCAAAATATATTAATTTAATAATTGATGGATAATTGAATTTTACAAAGAGTCACATTCTAATGTATTTAAATGTTTCTTAGTGCGAAAATTAATTATTTAAAATTTCTATTAGTTAATTTAAAAAAAGGTACACACTTAGAATTTTTTAATAAAATTAAATTTTCGCAAAGTTTTTTTGAAAATTTTGAAAAATAAGATTTTGAAATTTTTCACTTCTGTTCTTTCAAGATAATTGAATTTTTATAAACAAATAATTGAATATTTTTGAAATAAATGAAATTCTATTATTTTTAATAGAATTTTAATCGAATTCCTCAAAAAATGTAATTATTCTTAAAAATTTTATTAAATTTCGTCGAAAAAATTCAATTATTTCTATAAATAGCAAAATTCTTCAGATTTACTAAATTCTTTTGAACATTATTTAAAAATTATTATTTAAATTATTTAATTATTTTGAATTATTTAATTATTTACCTATTATTATTTAAATTTTGATTTATTCAATTATTTTCATAAATTTCCATAAAATTCTAAAATTATCTTTATAAATAATTAAATTTTTCTCCACAATTCAATTATTTTCAAAAATTGTAATAAAATTCTACGAAGACATTTAATTATTTTCATAAATAATAACATTCTTTTGAAGGATTCAATTACTTTTATAAATACTAAAATTCTTTGCAGAAATTCAATTAGTATCAATACATTTTAATAAAATTGAATTAATGAAATCAAAGTTTCAATTATAATTATGAAAAGACAAGATTATTTTAAAAAATTGAAAAAATTCTTTGTTTAATTCAATTATTTTCTAAATTTTTAATTAAAATTATTTTAAAAAAAAATTATTTTCAAAAAATTTAAAGATACTCGTCAAAAGAATTTAATTATTCATAAAAACTCTATAATAAAAATTTTGGAAGCCATTTGTAAATTTATCTATATTCAAAATCAAATTTGATGAGAAAAAAAACCGAGAAATTTTTTGTTAAAAATACTGATTATTTCAGAAAAAAATAAAATAGAAATATTTATTTTAAGACTTATTAATTGTATTTCATAAAAAAAGATTGAATGATCTTTTTTTTATAAAATTGTTTTATTTTGTCAGGGAATTTTATCAAAAGTACGGAAAAAATTTCACATCCTATAAAATAGTGAAAAATAAATCAATTTATGAATTTTTTGCAATGATGCGAATTTTCTAAAAATTAATTTTCAAATAAATAAAGTAAATAAAAATAAATAAAATTATTTTTTCTTTGAAATAAATTTCTAAAAAAAAACGTATTTTGCATTAATATCAATTCGTTTTTCTACAATAATTTATAAGTAACTATTTTTATATTTTAGAGTGTTAATTTATTATTATTATTATTATTATTATTAATATTAATATAGATTAAATTTCAAAAAGTTTCAAATTTAAAGTTTTAGAAAAGTTGAAAATTGTAAAAAAAAATTTATTAAAAATTCTGAATAAGTTAGTAATTTGAAATATTTTAGTTAAAATTTCTAGAAAATAATTGAATTGAAATCTTGAAAATAATTTTTAATAAGTTACAATAGCAATTCTTATAAATTATTCAATTTTAAAGGATTTGTATTATTTCTAGAATTACTTTTACTGAGTTGAAAGTAAATTTTACTAATTTCTATTAAAATTTTCTTCGGATATTATAAATTTTTCTCTGGAAATAACGATTGGATTTTTAATATCAAATTTTACTTTTTACACAGTTAATTTTTGTATGGAATTTGTTATTAAAAATTATTATTTACAGAATAAATTTTACTGTTTAAGTTTTCAAAAAATTTAATGAAAATTGTATTTTAAATAATTAAAAATCTGTGAAAATATTATTTATGAAAATAATTGGAGTTTTTTGCAAAGAATTTTAATAAAAATTTTTATAATTAATTGAATTCTTTTGTGAAATTTTATTAAAATAGTAGATATTGAAAATAATTGAATTTCAGCAAAGTTCCTAAAATTTTAGAAAATAATTGAATCGTTTCAAAGAATTTTATTAAAATTTTCGAGAATAATTTATTTATTTCAATTATATTAGCGGACTTAATATACTGTGTAAATTCTAAAATTTTTAACTGAAATTCATTTTTAAATAAATTTAAAAAAAATTTTAAGAAGAATTGCATTTTTTGAGTAAATTTATTTAAAATTTTCAAAAAATTGTAATAAATATTGTTTTTTTAAATAATTGGAAATCTGTGAAAATGTTATTATTTATGAAAATAATTGAAGTTTTAAGAAAGAATTTTATTAAAATTTTTTTTAAATAATGAAATTCTTTTGTGAAATTTTATTAAAATAGTAGATAATGAAAATAATTGAATTTTAGCAAAAAATTTCGTTATTTGGAAGAATAAATTAAAAAAAAACGTGTAGCTATTATGTTAAGGACCTTTATAATTTTATATGTTTACTATGTTACTATTTCCCATCGATTATTTCAGTTTCATTTTTTATTCACTAAATTAAATTATCTTTTCTTCACTAGTAAGTCTTCATTTTGAAATTTCGAAAGTTCAAGTCTCGTTTATAAATAAATTAATAAAAATAAACATTTAAACAATTCATGGTTTTAATGGCGAAATGGAAACAAGTAAAAATGATCGAAAAATATATATTAAACCACAGAAACAGGTTTTAAAACTTTTCAAAAATGTTTTTACAAATTACTTTTTTTTCTGTTGAATAGATTACATAAAATCAATAATACAAATCCAATTGAACTTTGTGTGAAATTTAAAGCCTATGTAAGCACAGGTCTAAAGTCTGAAAATCAGCATCAAAATTTCAGGCTTATTTCGAATTTCTTTCGCACAATTCTTGTAAAATCAACCTCTAACACCACCCAAATTGTTTTTTACTCAAAGCCTTTTTTATGTAGAAAAAAAGGATCATAAAACTTACCCTGAGGAGTGTGAAATTTGGCAAATTTTCAGATTTACACTCCAGGAATGTGTAATACCATATTTTGTCGTTTTTATTAAATTTTCAAAAATAAATGTTAATAATTTGTAAAAAAAAATAATTTAATTATAAAATAATATTTTAATTAAGAATTTAAATTTAATAGACTTTATTATTATTCTATAACATTAAGTATATAGAAATAGATAATAAATAAAAAGAAACACACATTTTTAAAGGTCAAATTTATTTACCCATGTTCATTTTTTTGCTGCCCTTGTGAATTACACTATTGAACGGGTAAGTGTAAATTTCCTGGAGTGTGAAACAAATAATAAAATATGTATAACATTTTCAAAGGGGAAAAATATACCTTTTTGTTTGATACATACTTTGCAAATTTTTGCAAATAACATTATTTACGTTTAGCGACGTAATCCAAGTTTAAAATAGTTCTTTTTTAAATATTGAATAGTCGCAAAATTGTGTTTGACAAAATTTAAGACTCACTTAAGGCTCTTAAAATGGGTTTAGTAGTAGACAGTGTTCCCAATAATGGATCGGTTTTATTATTATTACAATAAAAAAATTGCGGATCCGGTTTAGTGAAAGTTAAAACCCACCAGGTTTTAAAATTTTTGGCAACCAAAATGGGTCAAAAACTTAAAATTTTGTAAATCTGACTTCAAATTCATAATCAGTTGCAAAAAAAACTCTCGAAATTCAAATTCCGTTAAAATTCATTGACATTTAAAATTTTTCACCTTCAATGAAGGTGGGAAGTTTAAAATGTGGTTCGTGTAGTAGATCAAAATTAGGTTTCTGCTCGAACCACATTTCAAAGTAACCACAATTCCATTGCCCTCATTTGTCATCATGTTATCCCCACTTCTCGAATTCGTCCTCCTGTCTCATAGTGGGATAAAAAGTGCTCCTTTTTGGAAAAGAATCTATTGACAACTTAAATCTTAATCAATTTTCATAAGTTTTCTTTAATCTACTGTTGAATCTCTAACGCTTGCAACACGTGAATTTTGAATTTTAGAATCCAGTTAGTTAATTTGTGAACAGTGACTTTAAGAACCTATATACAGCAATATTGTCAGTTCTGTAATTTGGATTTCTTTAGTTTTAGCATTTTATTTACACTCATTCAATTATATAGCAAATGCCTCGGCAAATACAAAAATTAGTTTGGAAATGTTAATCTAGATTTTTGGTCAGATAACATAACGATATTCCAATCATTTGCCATACTTGATCCGTTATTTAAATTTCTTAAATCTTACTCCATATTCGTAATCAGCGACTCCAAAAACCGACAAGTAATAAGATTGAAGTGAATTTAGTCGTTTTTTACCTTTAGATCACCGAAAAGTCTAAAAATAGACAATAATTGTGATTGAAACTTTGTGTAAGATAAATTCATAATTCAAATACATTATTTAACTCCCGATTAACAAGATTAAAGCGAACCCACTCTTGAAAAACATAAACAAAAATTAAAAAATATTAAAAATTTTTTTTTTTAATTTAAAAAAAAAATAAAAAAAACTATAATGCAGGCATTATATTGTTTTAATGTCAGTCTAAACCCTGTAAAATGCAGCAAATAGTTCAATGTAACGTTTTATAAAATAAATTGCGGCGCGACGACGCGACGTGATGCGCTATATTCAAAAATTCATTTCTCGAAAACAAAAAAAAACGGTTTTTTGGAAAACAAGTATTTCATCAGAAAAAAGCTCAGCTTTCTTTTAAAAATAAAAGGAAAAAGAAAAAATGGACCCAAAGATGCGAAAAGTGAAAATTTATTTTTATTTTTTCAAAATTTTGTGACAAAATAAAAAAATTTTTTAAAATAGACTGTGCCATTCGAAAGCCTATGCAAAAATCTAAAAAAACCCATATCCTAATTTTTTTTTTTAATTTTTTCTTCTAATTGTAAGAAATAATAATCAAAGTGGAGCGTGTCACGCAAAAGTTCAGAACTTCTATCCCCTCCCCCTCGGACAATTTTTTATAAAATTTAAAAATATTTATCCGACAAATTACTAACCTATAGGGCATATCATAAAAAAAATTTGGGAATAATTGGCCATTTTTTTTGGGGTGGACTTTTGATGTGATATCCACCATATGTGACCGCGTCTGAGAAAAGGGACCTTATGACCAAAAAAATCGATTTTCAGATTTAGACGGTTTCTTACACTTTAAGGTACTTAAAATTTAATTAATTAATTAATTTAATCTAATGTTGAGTTTGATCATAAGCAGGGTTGCCACAGGTCAGGGAAAAGTCAGGGATTTTTAGTAAAAGTACTGGAAAAATAAATTGAATTTTTGAAAATTCATGAGAAAACTCTAAATTTTGATGTTTTTTCGTTTGCCTCGTAAACTATGAAATTACCACGAATTTAAATACAAAACCTTAAATTTTTTCTATTTCTGACAATAATTTCTTTTTAAATAACTTCATTTTTCAAAAAGTATGATAAAATTATGACTTAGAAATTATTTAATGAATAACTTTTACAATTTTCATAAATACTAGATTGATAGAAGAATATTAGTTAAAAATACTAAAAAAATTAAATTTTGGAAAAGTTAGAAATCATTCCAGAAATTCAAATTATTTTCAAAAATTATAAAAATTCTTCGCAGAATTTCAATTATGTTTGAAAATTAAAAAAAATTCTCGTCAAAATTTCAATTATCTTTATAAATAATAAAATTCCTCATCAAAATTCAATTATTTTTAAAAATTTTAATAAAATTTTTGGCAAAATTTCACAAGAATTCAATCTTTATTATAAATACACGGAGAAACTTTTAATACCAATAATTCTTAAAACTGGTGAGACATTTTAGTATGTTAGGTTAGATTCAAGGGAAAAACGACATAGGTTATAGAAATTGCTATTGAGACTATCAAAAACACTCATTCAGTATATATTTTACAGTTCTTCATAAGGAAACTAACGAAAATTAGTATGTTGTTTTAGAAAGAAAATAATAATTTTTGCAAAGTTGGGAAAGCCATGAATTAAAAAGAAACACAACAAATTAATTGTCTATAGATACTCATAGAGACGATAGTGATACTTGGATCTGATGGTAGATGGCATTAGTGTATGTCACTGTAACTGTAGGTAAATATATTTAACACGACGTAAGAACCTAACCTATATTATTAACGCACACACGCACACGCAAGTAAAGACACGACGATTGGTCACGGAAACCGAAAGATCGCACGATTCGTTAGAAGTACACAGCTGAATCGTCCTTATATATTAAACGAGTGGAAAAATATGTGCCTTCGAGAGAGAGCATTTTTTAAAATAACTTACTAATCAAATTATGTAAATAAGTAAAAGTCGTGAAAAAAATTATGTTATATTGAGGAACAGTTCTTGAATTTAATTTGGCATGAGGAGACATTCACGTTTATTAATAAAAGGTTTTTTTCTTTCATACACGTGTGAATTTCAACTTCGAAAACATTAGGGTTAGTTCGCGACGTCAGGTGATGGTCTCGGTGATGCTCGGGCGAAATCGGTTAAGTCCGCCCGCAGTCCTTCCAAAATTGGTATGCTACGTTAGAATGTCTGTTATATATTCTATCTATATGTGGAAAAAAGGTTAGAATTACCGTATTATTTCACAAACAAAAACTAGCATTTTATTCTTTTCTAAAGAAAAATAAGACTATTTCTAATGCAGATAGTAATTTTTGTACACCGAAGGTTGCTTAATATATAACGAACTTATCATATTTTCGTATTAATGTTGAAATTATTAGCACAACGCACGAAAAATCCTCACATTCTAACGTACTTTTAGAATAAACATAACCAAATATATTTAATATTATAAGAAAAAGTTTCTCCGTGTAGTAAAATTCTTTTCCGAAATGCAATTATTTTAAAAAAATTGTAATAACTTTAGAACCAAAAAATAAGAACAAAATAATTAAATTTTTTAATTTTAATAATTGAATTCTTCTAGAATTTTCTAATAAAAATTGATTTAATAATGAATTACCGAATAATCGATTTATTATTTATGAAAATTAATGAATTATTGTAACGAATTTTATTACATTTTTTTGATAAATTTTGCTACTTGTAAAAATAATTAAATTCTTGCGTAGGATTTTATTAGGATTTTTGTAAATAATTAACTTTTTTTTTGAAAAATTTTATGGTAATTTAAATTATTATAAAACATGAAGAAGGCGATTTTTTTTGAATAATTTGACAATTAAAGAAATTTGTAAATAAATGTAATAGAACATTTTTTCGAGTATCTAATAATTTTTAGAGTGAATCAGAATATTCTTTAGGGTCAGGAAAAAAGTGGAAATTTTGTCTGGAAATCAGGGAAAAATAAAATTAAATATTTGTGGCAACCCTGATAAGGTCCCTTTTCTCAGATTTGGTCACATATTATGTCCCGGAGGCCCAAAAGGGTTAAAATCTGTGAGTGATTTATCGCAAAATTATTTAGTGAAATTAGTATTTATTAATATCGTCGACACTCCTTAAATTTTGGCGATAATAATTTTTAAATTTTATGATTATTGGACCTCCTAACGAACCTGAATGTCTTTTGCTAAATGCGAATGCTATAAACACAGAATAACGATTGAATTCCAATTCAAAGTCATTAATTGTGAATCCTTTTTTTCAGATAGGAAGACTACGAGATATCGCTAGAATAATCGAGCAATGAAAATGCTGAATAAATAATATTGAATTGACTGTGTACGAGTAATTGAGTTGATTTGTTGACACAAGAACGAATAAAAGAGTATGGGGGCGTTTTTGGATACCCCGAAAACGGAAAAGTATAATGAAAATGGAGCGGGAAATGGGCTGCGATATGGCGTGGCCAGCATGCAAGGTTGGCGACTGGAAATGGAGGACGCTCACAGGGCCATCACTGGCCTCGACGGCGGACTCACGGACTGGAGTTACTTCGCCGTGTTCGATGGACACGCGGGTGCGCTCGTCTCCGCGCACAGCTCCGAGCACCTACTAGAATGTATAATGCACACAGAGGAGTTTAAAGCTGAGAATGTGATAAAGGGAATTCACTGTGGCTTTCTGCGACTCGACGATGAGATGCGAGACCTTCCAGAAATGAGTTCTGGCAATGACAAATCGGGCTCGACCGCAGTCTGTGCCTTCATCTCGCCGAGGAACGTCTACATAGCGAATTGCGGCGACTCCAGAGCGGTTCTTTGCAGCTCAGGCAATCCGATATTCTCGACGCGAGACCACAAACCGGGACTGCCGGCGGAGAAGGAGAGAATCCAAAAGGCTGGAGGGAGCGTCATGATCCAGAGAGTCAATGGCTCTTTGGCAGTGTCGCGGGCCCTCGGCGACTACGAGTACAAAAATGTCGAGGGGCGCGGACCGTGCGAGCAGCTGGTGTCGCCTGAGCCGGAAATCTTCGTCCTCGACCGACAGGACGAGAATGACCAGTTCCTAGTCCTGGCTTGTGACGGAATCTGGGACGTCATGACCAATGAGGACCTCTGCAATTTTATACACTCGAGGCTCCTAATCACCGACGACTTGGAGGCCGTCACCAATCAAGTCATAGACACATGTTTATACAAGGTAAGATTCTTGATTCTTCAATCTCACAGTCTTCACAGTCTGTCTCCTATTTTCCTAAAAGTCCCCTTTTTTCATTTTGGCCCCTAAACGAACCCTATTTTCAAAATTTCCCCTAAATTCCCCCTATTTTTTTCTTTTATCTTCTAATGATTAATTTACACCAAATTTAGTAAAGTGCCGTTGAAACTTTCAATGGGGATCATTATATGTAAAGCTAATCTCAGATGGCAGCACCATAGCAAGATTTGTCTAGCGCTTAATTTTTGATTTCGCGAAAAGTCATATTTGTTTTACAAACAAATGGGCGAAGTAAATAAATACTTTTTTTGGAATTTTGAAAAGTTAAAAATTGAATTACTTGGGTGAGGAATTTGTGTCACAGGAAAAAAGTCGGTTTTGCAAGTCACAGTATCGTAAAAGTATAGATAAAAAAAATTGAGGTTATGTTGCCTGTTATTAAAAATATTGTAAACACATTTCAATTTTGAATCTCCCAACATCTTTAAATAGTTTTCCGTACTTTATTATAACCAATATTTCGGATCTAATGATTTTATTCTTCATTTACATGAACAAAAACCATTTATATTGTTTAATTAATATTATGCAACAAATCACATTTAAAATTTTGCGCCATAAAATCTTATAGTGGTGCTGCTTTCTACTGGTCAAGTTTGGCTGTGAGGATCCCTATTGGAAACTTTTGTTTTGAAAGTTTCAAATCTTCAAATTTATGATCGATGAAATTTTTAATGAAATTTATAAAATTTGTAAGATTAGCATTTTGGTGAAGTCAAGTCTCAATTATGTTTAGAAGTTTGTTGTTTTAATATTCTTTAATTATTACAAAAGATTTAATGCAATTATCTTGATAAATAACAAAATTCTTCACAGAAATTCAATAATTTTTAGGAATTTTAATAAAATTCTTTACAAGATTCAATTGTTTTCATAAATTACAATATTCATCACAAGAATTCAATTATTTTCAAAAGTAATAAAATTCTTCGAAGAAATTCAATTATTTTTATAAATTTTCACAAATATCTCGTCAAGAATTCAATTATCTTTACAAATGGCAAAATTTTTCGCCAAAAATTCAATTATTTTCAAAAATTTATAAAAATCTTTGCAAAAGTTTAATTATTTTCAAAAGTTTTTTGCAATTCAATAATTTTTAATATTTACTATTTTCATAAAATTTATCAACAGATTTAATTAGAGAAAAAACTTTTTGATACAATTCTACGAAAAGATTCAATTATTTTCATAAATAATAAAATTTCATTTACGAATTCAATTATTTTCATCGTAGAATTTCAAATATTTTAATGCAATTTTAAATAAATTCCTTGAAAAATGCAATTATTATTAAAAATTTTATTAAAACTTGAGGAAAGAATTCAATTTTAAGAAACATTTAATTATTCAATAAAACAATAAAATTTGTTGCAATAATTCAAATATTTTCATAAATAACATTTAATTCGTCGCAGAAAATCAATTATTTTCAAAAATTTTTAAGTAATTTTGCAAAAAAATTCAATTAGCTTGATAAAAAACAATCGCATAAATTCTTCCCATACAATCAATTATTCTAAGGAAATATAATAAAATTCTTTTCCAAAATTCAATTATTTTGATAAATATCAAAATTCATCACAAGAATTCAATTCTTTTAAAAAGTAATAAAATATTTTGCAGAAATTAAATTATTTTCAAAATTTTTTGAAAATTCTCGTCAAGAATTAAACTATCTAATTATAAATAGATAGGGAAATTCTTCTCAAGAATTCAATTATTGTCAAAATTTTTTTTTAAATTCTTCTCAAGAAGTCAATTATTTTCAAAAATTTTAATAAAATTCTTCAAAAAGTTTTCAATTATTTTCAAAAATTATTGAAAAATTCTTTAATATAACAAATTTTATTTAAATTTTAACTAAATTACTTAAAAGAAATTAAATATTTTCAAAAGTGTTAATACAATTCTTCGTAAAAGTGAAATTCTAAGAATCTATCAAAATTTTTAATAACAATTGAATTATTTCGGCGAATTTAGAAAAAAATTGTAAGAATAAATATGCAATTTTCTATCATTTTATTTAAAATTTTATAAAAATAATTGAAATTTTGCGATAAGTTTTGTTATTTATGAAAATAATTGAATTCTTGCAACGAATTTGATTAAAAATCTTTTTAAAGAATTGAATTCCTGTGAAGAATTTTATTTGTAAAAACAGGGTGTCTACTAACCGGGAATTCCGGGAAAACCGGGAAATAACCGGGAATTTTATTTGACCGGGAAAAACCGGGAATTAGCCGGGAATTTTATACCGAACCGGGAATTTTTTCACAAAAATTAAAAAAGTTTTATTATTTTAATTTGTTTTTAAAAAATCAATTTTTATTTCAATTTTTATAGATATTTATACTGTTCTCTAAATTTAAGTTAGTTAAAAATAATTAATTTGATGATAAAAAATCAGTTACCAATTCAAATATATTATGTAAATAAATTTTAAAAAAATTATGGAGTTAATAGAAATATTGTGAAATTCGACTGAAAATATGTCATTAAATTTGTTAAAGAAATTCATTAGAAACTTTTTATAACAAATAGAATTTTCAAAGTATTTTAATTTAATAATTGATTAATAATTGAATATTATAAAGAGTAAAATTCTAATGTATTCATGTTTCTTACTGCGAAGATTAATAATTAATATTTTTATTAGTTAATTTAAAAAAATATACATACTTAAAATTGTTTAATAAAATTGAACTTTCGCAAAATTTTTTTTAAATCTAAAAAATAAAATTGTTGTAATTTTTTAATTCTATTGTTTCAAGATAATTGAATTTTTCTAAACAAATCATTGAAATTTTTTTACTTTTTTTAAAAAATAATTGAATTTTTTTTTTCGAAATTTTTCGAAAATAATCAAGGGAAGTTAGTGACCACAATTATAATTTTATTTTTAAAATTTTAAGTCCCTCTTACAGTTTTAAATCAATTTTTTGCTTCTAAAAATTATACTATTCTATTATTATTTAATAATTATAATTATTGAACTTCTCTTAAATTTTTATCATTTTAAATTTCTAAATGTTCAAATAAATGATATTTATTTATTTCTTGAGCAAATTAAATGTTTATTACATATTAAGTAAATAATTAATTATTGCTGCTTATTGTTTTCAAAAATTTTAATAAAATTCTTCACAAAAATTAAATTATTTTCATAAATAATAGCATTCTTTGGAAGGATTCAATTATTTTTATAAATAGTAAAATTCTTTGCAGAAGTTCAATTATTATCAATGTAATTTTAATAAAATTGAAAAATACAATTTTCAACCTATAATTATAAAGAGACAAGATTATTTTTAAAAACTTGAAAAAATTCTTTGTTTAATTCAAGTATTTTCCAAGTTTTTAATTAAAATTATTGAAAAAAACATTATTTTCAAAAAATTTAATGATTTATTTATGTTTGAAATCAAATTTAAATTTAAATTTGATATGAAAAAAAACCGGGAAAAACCGGGAAATAACCGGGAATTTTGTTAGACGAAAATAGTAGACACCCTGGTAAAAATAATTGAATTCCAGAGAAAAATATTATTATTTATGAAAATAATTAATTTCTTGTTAAGAATTTTATTCAAATTTTTTTAAATAATTGAATTTTTCAGAATTTTTAAAAACTTTTTAAAAATAATTAAATTTTATTGAAAAATTGAAAATAATTGAAATCTGACAAAGAATTTAAAAAAAAATTTTTTTTTAATAATTAAATTCCTGTGAAAATGTTTATTTTTGAAAAAAATTGAATTCTTGGGAAGAATTTTATTAAAATTTCTTAAATAATTGAATTGCTTAGAAGAATTTTATTTTTTACGAAAATAATTGAATTTTTTCGAAGAGTTTTACAAACATTTTTGACAATAATTGTATTTGTGAAAAAATGTTGTATTTTACGAAAATAATTGTATTCTATGACCGATTTTATTATAATTTTTCAAATTTATAAAGTATTCTATCAAAATTTTTAAAAATAATTGAATTCTGAAGAAAGAAAATAATTGATTTCTAGCGAAGAATTTTATTCAAATTCCTTTAAATAATTGAATTCCCATAAAAGATGTATTACATACTTGTGAAAATAATTGAATTCTTAAGAAGAAATGTATTGAAAACAATTGAATTGTATCGGAAAATTTTATTAAAATTCGAGTGCAATTTAATGAACTAAATCTTGTAAAGAATTTTGTCAACATTTTTTTAAATAATAGAATTATTAAAAGAATTTTATTTGAATTTTTCGAAATAATTGAATTTCTCAGACTATTTTTTTCAATTTTCCTCATATATTTGAATTCTTTCGAGAAATTTCATTAAAAAATTTAAAATAATTGAATTGATGCGAAGAAATTTATAAAAGAAATTGGTAGGTAATTGAATTCCTGTTAAATTTTTTTTAAAATTTTGTTTAAATAATATAATTCTTTTGGAAAATTTTATTAAAATAGTAGATATAAAAAATAATTGAAATGAGGAAAATTTTTGAAAATAATTGAAATTTTGCCAAGAATTTTATTAAATTTTTTGAAAATAATTGAATTTTGGAGAAGAAATTTATTATTTATAAAGATAATTGAAATTTATACGAGAATTTAAAAAAATTTTTTGAACATAATTGAATTTATGCGAAGTTATTTAAAAGTTATTTAATAAGAAATTATGTAAAGAATTTTATTATTTATGAAAATAATTGAATTCAAACAACGAATTTTATTACATTTTTTTAAATAATTAAATTCATGCGAAAAAATGTATTACTTGTAATACGATCGTAATTGATAAATATTTTTACATTATCTTTGCAATTATTATTATTTTTTTATGAGAAAAGTAACTCTTCGTTTTAAGAATTAATAATACTGTCGATAGTGTAAAATAAAATGTAAATCAAAATAATTAGAGTTGTTTAATGACGAAACGATGTGTAATTAATTAAATGAAAAGTGTGGGTATTGTTTAAAAACCTACACAACAGAGTAATAACGTGGGTAAATAATACGATAAGTAGTTTCTAAACTTAATGTGAATACATGAAAGTTAGTGCCAAGAGGTTTTGGCAATGGCCTCTGCATAGTAATGAATCAGATATTTAGGGATTTAATGCTTTTGATTTAAATCAAGTTCACTTTGTGTTTCTATCATTCTTGAAAATTTATTTAAAAACAAATCATTTACAGTATTTATAAATTAAATTTTATACTTATTTATTTAAATTTATTTTCAATTTCATCTTTCTTAACAAAGTATAGAAATATTTTTTTTTAAGAATTTCCACTACTTTAAATTCGCTAATACTAGAAATCAAAAAACGATTCTAAAAAATTATAATCAAATTCTTTAACACGATTCAATTATTTTCAAAAAAATATTCGAAATTCAATTATATTCAACATCTGGCATTTCCATAAAATTTCGCAAAAGAATTGAAATAATTCAATTATTCTTTTAGATTAAAATTCTTCCCAAAAATTAAATTATTTACATAAATAGTTCTTGAAAAGAATTTAATTACGTCGATAAATAACAATTTTGTTCCTGAAAATTCAATTATTTTGAGGCATTTTATTAAAATTCTTTGCAAAATTCAACTCCTTTCATAAATAACAATATTTATCATAAAAATTCAATTATTTTGAAAAGTTATAAATTTCTTATTAGTAATTCAATTATTTTAAAAAATTCTAATAAAATCGTTTGGAAGAATTCAATTATATATTTACAAAAATATTAGAATTTTTCACAGGAATTTAATTATTTTTTAAAATATTTTAATAAAATTGTCCAAAAGAAATCAATTTTTTTAAATACAATTTTTATTAAATTTTTTTGAAATAATTTAATTATTCTTTTAGATTTTAATAAAATTATTCCCAAAAATTCAATTTATTTACATAAATAACTCTTCGAAAGAATTCAATTTTGTGGATAAATAAGAAAATTATTCCCGAAAATTTAATTATTTTGGTGCATTTTAATAAAATTGTTTGCAAAATTCAATTATTTTCATAAATACAATTAATAATCATCACAAGAATTCAATTTTATTTAAAAGTAATAAATTTATTGTTGGAAATTCAATTATTTAAAAAAATCCTTATAAAATCGTTCGCAAGAATTCAATTATTTTCATAAATAATAAAATGCTTTTTAGGAATTCAATTATTTTCAAAAAATAAATGTAATAAAATCAGGGTGGCCACATGTCAGTAAAGTCAGTAAAGTCAGGGAAATTAAGAAAATCGAGAATTTTTTCGACTTATTTTCAAAAATTGCGACTTTTTTGACTTTTCTTCCAAACATTTCAAGTATTTATTTACAATATTTAAAAATCAATTTTTGAAGAATTTTAATTGCAAATTTTAAAAATAATTGAAATATCAAAAATTTTAATGAAAAATCTTATAGGTAAATTTAAAAATGAAAATTAATGAAAATTAGCTTCTAATTTTTTATAATTCAATGTTTTCAGTATTTTCAATTACATATTTCCAAAAATTCAAATACATACAAAAATAATATTTTAGAATTCCTTTTAACATTTTGGAGAATACAATCAAGTTCAAAATTTTTAATTAAAATTTAAAAAAAAATTAATTAGTTTTTTAAATTATACAAAAATTTTTTTAAGGAATTCAATTATTTTCGAAAAATTACATTAAAATATTTTTAAAAACTAATTATTATAATTGTTTTATAATAATTTTTTAAGGTTCAATTATCTTCGAACATTGTAAATAAAAATTTATGAAAATTTACTTTTTGGAGTTACTAAAATTTTTGAAAAATAATGGTCCTGTTTATAATTAAAATTCTTCAAAAATTTGATCATTTTTATTTATATTTTTCAAAAATTCAATTATGTTCAAAAGATTTAACCTAATTTTAATTGTTTGGAAATTATTCAAAATTGAAAAACTATTATATTTATATAATTACAATTATTATAAAAAATTTTATTTTTGTATTTAAATAATTGAATTCTAGAAGAACTTTTGGGAAATTATTTAAATTAATTGATTCAGAGATGAAGTTTACTTGAAAATTGTAGAAAATAATTGAATTCAGGAAGGGTTATAATTGTAAGTTTTAGAAATTATTAAAATTCATAAATTTTACTCATTTTCCATAAACATTCATATTTTCCTTTAAAAAAAATTTTGTTAGGGAAAGTAATTTTAATGTCAGTAAATTGTCAGGGAAATGTCAGGAAAATTGATAAACTGAAACTTGTGACCACCCTGAAAATACCACATAGACATTCAATTATTGTCAAAATTTTTAATAGAATTCTTTGTCAAATTTAATTATCTTTAAAAACTTTTCGCAATTAAATGATTTTCAATATCTACTATTTTCATAAAATTTCCAAACAGAATTCAATTATTTAAAAAAGGTTTTTTGTAAAAATCGTCTTAAGAATTCAATTATTTTCATGAATATTAAAAATTTCTCAGGTATTCAATTATTTAAATTAGAATTTGCATAAAATTAGTCGAAAGAAATCGATTATTTAAAAATTTTAATAAAATTCTTCTCAATAAGAATTAAATTATTTTTATAAATATTTAAATTGCTTTATAATGAATAATAAAATTCGTTGCAGGAATTCAATTTATTGGCAGGATAAGAAAGAAGTAAAATATTTGTGATGAAAATTAGGAAAAAGTCTGAAAATAAAATATAGAATGGAATTTTTGGCAGTTTTGTAAAGTATCTAAAATGAGTTTTTTTTGGTCGTCAAGTTTAATTTTTTGATAGCTATACTTTTTTTTACTACTTTTTTTTAGTTTGAAAGATACTTTTTGCTACTTTTTTAAAATTAATTATCGAGTGCGAAGTCTGTATGTGTAAAATTTGAAAAAGTGAAATTTATATGACGTTGGAGAAGAATAAAAATTTAGAATAAATAAAGAAATTGCAAGGAGGTTATATGGATTGTGTTTAAAATTTGTTTGATAATGATTATTATTTTTACAGGGCAGCCGAGACAATATGAGTATAGTGCTGGTAACCTTCCCTGGAGCGCCGAAGCCGAGCCCTGAAGCGCAGAAAAAAGAGGCTGAACTCGAAACGGCAATCGAAAGGAAGATTAAAGGTTCATTGTCTTTTCCTTTTTCACATTCTCTATTCTCTCTTTGTTGTGGTATTAACTCGCGATCTCGATATCGTAAACGCACCTGATGTCAAACTCCCAATTACATATAGAGAAAATAATTTATTTAAATTAATGCCCCCCCCCTGTTAAAAGTAGGAATTTTCAAAATAACAAATTGCTGAAGCTACGAAAAAATAGCTTAAACTACAAAACAGAATCGATAACTACTAGCCAATGATAAATTATCAATTATAATAATTGATCTCCATCAGTGTCAGTGCGTAATATCTACAAGTTTTCTGTGGGTTTATCTAGATTTAATATTCTCTTTAATATCATCTACTTGGATGATTATTGTAAAAGTATTTTTTTTTTCTATTAACGTGACTGCAGCCCTTGGTTTTTATGTTAGCTGGCACTTTTTTATATTTGTGTCTGCGCAATAGACAAATATGAAAGTGGATTTTGTTATCAAGAATTTAATAATTGCGGAGACACGAATATAAGTAACGGCTTTCCTTATCTTATGCAGGGTTGCCACAGGTCAGGGAATTCAGGGAAAAGTCAGGGATTTTTAATAAAAGTACTAGAAAAAAAATTGAATTTTTGAAAATTCATGAGAAAACTCTAAATTTTGATGTTTTTTCGTTTGCCTCGTAAACTATGAAATTACCACGAATTTTAATACAAAACCTTCAATTTTTTCTATTTCTGACAATAATTTCTTTTTAAATAATTTAATTTTTCAAGAACTATAATAAAATTATGACTTATAAATTATTTAATGAATAAATTTTACAATTTTCATAAATACTAGATTGATAGAAGAATTTTAGTTAAAAATACTAAAAAAAAATTTAATTTTCGAAAAGTTGTAAATCATTCCAGAAATTCAAATTATTTTCAAAAATTATAAAAATTCTTCGCAGCATTTCAATTATTTAAAATACAAAATTTCATAAAATTTTTCGAAAAATATCAATTATTTAAAAAGATTTTTATAAAATTCGTCGCAAGAATTCAATTATTTAAAAAAAATTTGAACAAAGTTCTTTTCAAGAATTCAATTATTTTTATAAATAATGAAATTCTTCACCGAAATTTAATAATTTTTATAAACTTCAATAAAATTCTAGAAAGAATTAAATTATTTTCAAAAGTAATAAAATTCTTCGCAGAAATTAAATTATGTTTAAAAATTTTTTTAAAATTTTTGTCAAAATTTCAAATATCTTTATAAATAATAAAATTCTTCATCAAAATTTAATTATTTTTATAACTTTTAATAAAATTCTTGGCAAAATTTCACAGGAATTCAATTATTTACAAAATTTTTAATAAATTTCTTCGAAAAAATTCAATTATTTTCATAAATAATAAATTTTTCACAGGAATTCAATTATTAAAAATAAAAAATTTCATAAAATCTTTCGAAAAATATCAATTTTTGAAAAAGATTTTTATAAGTCAATTCTTTTCAAGAATTCAATTATTTTTATAAATAAAATAAAATTTTTCGCAGAAATTCAATTATGAGAAAAAAAAAATTCTTTTCAAAATTTCAAGTATCTTTATAAATAATAAAATTCTTTTCCGAAATGCAATTATTTTAGAAAAATTTGAATAAAATTGTTGGGATAATTTTAATTAATTTCATGAATAATGAAACTCATCGCAGGATTTTAATTATTTTTGATACAATATTTTAATCGAATTTCTCGAAAAATGTAATTATTCTTGAAAATTTTATTAAAATTTGTTTTGACAAATTTTAATAAACATTCAATTATTTAATAAATTATTTATTTTTTAATTTTAATAATTGAATTCTTCTAGAATTTTCTAATAAAAATTGATTTAAAAATAAATTACCGAATAATCGATTTATTATTTTATGAAAATAATTGAATTATTGCAACGAATTTTATTAGGTACATTTTTTTAAATAATTGAATTTTTTTCAGAAATTTTACTACTTGTAAAAATAATTAAATTCTTGCGAAGGATTTTATTAGCATTTTTGTAAATAATGAACTTTTTTTTTGAAAAATTGTATGTTAATTTAAATTTGTTAAAAGTCAGTTTTTGGATCGTAATATAATTTGTGTTTTGATGTTTAGGCCAAAGAATCCAAATTTTCTATTAATTTAATTTAAATTATTAAAAAAAATGAAGAAGGCAATCACTCCGGAGTGATAGCCTTCTTCATGTTTTGTAATAATATTCTTATAAGTTGTTGAATTTCATAAAGGTTTGAATTTGAATGTTTTGAAAAATTTTAATTCTTCATGAAGAATAATAATGATTAAATATTTATTTAAAAAAGAAGTTATTGATTTTTTTTTTTTGAATAATTTGACAATTAAAGAAATTTGTAAATAAATGTAATAGAACATTTTTTGGAAAAAGTGGAAATTTTTTCTGGAAATCAGGGACAAATAAAATTAAATATTTGTGGCAACCCTGTTATGCCAAGCGTGTGATCAAGCTGATTGTAATTTATTCCACCATCAAATGTTCATTAAGGTAGTTGTCTCACGACATTCTGCTCAAGACTTTTTTTTCGGTATTCGCTCATTCTGCTGAATAGAAATTCCCAAATGGAGATTTTCCCGAATTATTACGATGACCATTTGCCCGAATTAATTTTATCTGCGGAATTTTTGTTTCCCGAAATACTTTTATTTCCAATTAACCTTATATTTTTAAAATTAAAAATGTCCGAAGCCGAAGTAATAAGACAAACGAAAAAATTGAAAATATTAACCTGAATTCAGAACTCAATAATAATTTAAAATGTAAAATGTAATAAAAAGTATTAAAAATGCCATTTTGAATTTTAAAAATATCAGGGTGGTCACATATCAGTAAAGTCAGGGAAATTAATAAAATTGAGACTTTTTTCGGCTTATTTTAAAAAATTACGACTTTTTCGACTTTTTTTTTTAAATATTGCAAAAAAAACAACAGTTTTTAGTATAAAATGCAACTTATTTTGATTTTCATTTCAAATCTTTCAAAAATTATGGTAGGCGGTCACTTTTTCTAAAAAATATTTTCTAATCCTTTTTGTTTAAAAAAAAGCGATTTCTAATGAAATCTGTTTTCTAAAAATAGTTTTTCTAACAAGTTTTGATTTCTAAAAAAAGTTTTTTTAAAAAGTTATGATTTTTAATATTTATTTTCCCAAAATTTGTAAAATTTCATAATACAATAAGATTAAGAAATAGAAACTATTTTGGATATTTTCTGTTTCTTAATTACAATTATAAGTTCCTTTTTGAAAATGAAAAAAAAATGTATAAAATTACTATTTGTTAACAAAATTCTGTTCTACTTTGAAAAAAAAATAGATAAAATAATTTACATCATTTTTATACAAAAATTTCCAAAATTAATATTATAAAATATTTTTTTATAAATTTTAAATATCTTTAGGGAAAAATCCCTATAATTTTTATTTGTTAATTACGATTTTTAACTAGATTATTTAAAAATTTTGTTAAAAAATCTGCATAATTTGTATTTTTTATTATAATTTTTTAACGAAATCTCAAGTACTTTTTTTATTAAGAATTTAATAATTTTCGTGAATTTTATTTTTTAATTATCGTCATTACAAAAATTGAATATTGTTAGAAATAAATTTTTGAAAATTAGGTACCTTTATTAGAAAAAGAAAGTTTTAGAAAATTACCTTTATTAGAAGAAAGAAAATTAGAAAATCACCTTCATTACAAAACAGTTTTTTAGAAATTCACCTATATTAGAAAAAAAATTTTAGAAAATATGTTTTAGAAAAACTGTACCCCAACCAAAAATTATTTTTAAATCTATAATAAAAATCTTTTTCAATAATGGAAATTTTGTAAAATTTAATTGAAAATAATTAATTTTTTTCAAGTATTTCGTTACAATTTTTGAAAATCTTTTGAAGAATTTTAATTGCAAATTTTGAAAATAATTGAATTATCAAAAATTTTAATAAAAAATCTTTAAAATGTAAATTTAAAAATGAAAATTAATGAAAATCAACTTCTAATTTTTTAAAATTCAATATTTTCAGTACTTTCAATTACATATTTCCGAAAATTTAAATACATACAAAAATAATAATAACATTTTAAAATAATTTTTAGCATTTTGGAGAAGAAAATCATCTTCCAAATTTTTAATTAAAATTCATCAAAAAAGTAATTAGTTTCTTTTTAAATTGTACAAAAATTCTTTTTAGAAATTCAATTAGTCTCGCAAAATTACCTACATTAAAATATTTTTAAAAACTAATTCTTAGAATTGTTTTATCATAATTTTTTAAGATTCAATTATCTTGGAAGAAAGTAAATAAAAATTTACTTTTTTTAGATTTACTAAAATTTCGGAGAAATCATGATGGTATTTATAATTAAACTTCCTCAAAAATTTGATTATTTTTATTTATATTTTTCAAAAATTCAATTATTTTAAAAAGATTTTACCAAATTTTAATAAAATTGTTTGGAAATTTTTCAATACCTATTGTATATAAGAGACATTCTATTTCAAAACGACCCACTAGTAAACAATTACCAATTTAAGGCAATTTGTAAATAAATATTTTTCCTATTTAAATAAACCAATTGAATTTTGTTACTAGCAGTTTTATAGTGGACTATTTTTATTGTTCAGCTTAATTAATAAAATAATGATAAAAGAAAATTAATAATAGTAAATTGCCTTAAATTGGCAATATTGTTTACAAGGGGAGTCGTTTTGAAATAAAATTTTATTAGATATTTTCTTTTTTTTATTACTTCATGTATCAATTATTCTTTACATATAAATTTTAATTAATCGGACAAAGATTTTATGAGAAAAAAATTTAAGAAATTAATTATTCGGGAAATAAATTAGTCTAGGAAATATTTTTCCAGAAAATTACCTGCGGAAAGAAAAAAGTTATTCTAGAAAAATATTATCTATGCAGAAAATAATATATTCGGGACAAATTTGGTTAGAGA